AAGGAATTGGCACGAGGGGTTAATACCCCCCCCCCAGAGACTTTGCGAATGTCTCTGAGGTCACTGGGTCTCCCCTCACCTTTCACTGTCGTCTCCGGGACAGCTAGGGTCCATGACCCGTCCAAAAATCCTTCAGAATAGGGGAATTTCAGGAATAGCCTGAAACTCCGTCTTCTCACTGCTAAGCCCCGCCTTCTTCCCTTGGATGGATTTATTTATTTTTGAGATTTATAAAGCTACATGTGGTGGCTCAGCGACTAAGACGCTGAGCTTGTGGATCAGAAAGATCAGAAGTTTGGCGGTTCAAATCCCGGGCGCCGCATAATGGAGTGAGCTCCCGTTACTTGCCTGCCCCAGCTTCTGCCAACCTAGCAGTTTGAAAGCACGTTAAAAAATGCAAGTAGAAAAATAGGAACCACTTTTCATGGGAAGGTAATGGCATTCCATGTGCCTTCGGCATTTAGTTACATAACTATGGAGTCATCTTCGGACAGTGCTGGCTCTTTGGCTTTGAAACGGAGATGAGCACCGCCCCCTAGAGTCAGGAACGACTAGCACATATGTGCGAGGAGAACATTTACCTTTACTTAAAGCTACACAGATCAAACAATGAGGCTCTGGGTGGTGTAAAGCCTTGGAGAAAAAAAACCCAAACCCACTGTATATATAAAAAATAATATTTATTACAAAATATCAGTATCAATTTGGCTATTGCTTTCCTATAGATAGGTAGATAACAACATGCTCATTCAGGAATTCTTAAAAATATGTTGCCCCTTCTATTTTCAAGATTTGTTTTTCTCTCCCCAGGGGCCTTGGGGAAAAAAAATTCCTGTCGAAAGTGTGGGAAATGCTTCGTTCAGAAATCGGATCTTGCTGTACATCGACTAGTTCACAAGGGAGAGAAAACTTTTAAATGCCTGGAATGTTCAAAATATTTTGTTCATCGCTCAGAGCTCGTGAAACACCAGCGCGTCCATACAGGAGAGAGGCCCTTTAAATGCTTCGAGTGTGGAAAGTGTTTTTCACGGCAGTCTGTCCTTTCCAACCATCACCGGATCCACACAGGAGAAAAACCTTATGAGTGCCTGGAGTGTGTGAAACGCTTTACTCAGAGATCACAACTCATCCGACACCGAAGAGTCCACACGGGGGAGAAACCTTATAAATGTCTGGAGTGCGGGAAGTGTTTTGCCCGCCACTCGGTTCTCATCAATCACCAGAGAGTCCACACCGGAGAAAAACCGTACAAATGCTTGCATTGTACCAAATGTTTTGCCCGTCAGTCTGTCCTGGTGAGCCATCAAAGAGTCCACACTGGAGAGAAACCCTACATGTGCCAGGAGTGCGGCAAGCGCTTCGCTCATCAGTCGAATCTTGTCAACCACCAGAGAATTCACACGGGGGAGAAACCTTACAGATGCTTGAACTGTGGGAAAAGTTTTGCCCAACAATCTGATCTCGTGAAACACAGGAGAATCCACACAGGGGAGAGACCTTACCAATGCCCACAGTGTGGAAAATCTTTTATGCTCCATTCAGATGTTGTCAATCACCAGAGGGTCCACACGGGGGAGAAGCCTTACAAATGCCCAACATGTGGGAAGTGTTTCTCTCAACGCTCGGCTCTCGTGGGTCACCAACGAATCCACACGGGGGAGAAACCGTACACGTGCCTGGCGTGTAAGAAATGTTTTGCTCAGCTATCCAGTCTTGTGAAACACCAGAGGATCCACACAGGAGAGAAACCCTACAAATGCTTAGTGTGTGGGAAATATTTTAGGCGGCGTTACCATCTCAAGGTCCACCACCGAGTGCATTCGAGGAGTTAGGCCCGGTGACGACCTTAAAGGAGACGATGGCTTTGAAGGCCAAGAAAATTATTCAATATAGATTGGCAGACTCAAATGGAATACATTCTGAATAATTTACATTTAGGGTTGTTGTTTTTTTTTAAAAAAAGCTTCTTAAAACTAACGCTTCATTGATGCCGATGGAGGAAGAGATACACTGATCGCAGAAGTAATGTTGAAGAGAGATGCACAACTAAATCATGGGAAGGACTGAGTTTTAATGGCAGTTGTACCTGGGGCCCTAGTGGCTCAGTGGTTAAAGTGCAGTATCGTAGGCTATCACTGCCCTCAGCCAAGAGTTCGATCCTGATGGGGCTCAAGGTTGATTCAGCCTTCCATCCTTTTGAGATCGGTAAACTGAGGAGCGAGATTGTTGGGGCCTATATGCAAATAATGCTTATATTTTAAATCACCCAGAGAGTGCTATAAAACACTATGGGGTGGTATATCCCAGAGTTTCCCAAACCTTTCTAGGTTGGCAGCCTGGAGGGGGGGAGGGACAAGTGCATGCACACGCACACAAGTGGATGGGACTGTGTGCGCAAATAGTGGTAGTGCCTATGTGGTGATGCTAGTACAAGTGTGGGAGTGGTGCATGTGCATACATGCCCCCACTGGCCAGCCAATCACGCAACCCTGTGGCCAATAGGCCACACCTCAGTTATGGGCTGCAGCCCACAGGTTGGGAACCTCTGTATATCAGACTAAATGCTACTGCTAGTGTTACGTGGAACAATTGGTTCAGTTGTCCATGTTGTTCCTCCCACAATGTTTTCGGACCATCAATTTGTCCGTTGTTTATCTTTCATCATACAGAAATAACAATTTCCCAAGTGTTTCAAAACAGCAGCAGGCTAGCCACAGTGAAGAGTGTAAATGCTTGTGTGGGTTCTATTGAAGTGGTGCTTTCCTTGGTTCAAACTGCAACCAATTTTTTTTTGGGGGGGAGGAGACTTTCTATGAAGGAAACAATGTGTTCTGATCCAGGCTTCCCAAGATCAGGAAGCAGACCCCTTGTCCCGATAAAGTCTCTTTTATTTAGGTTAAAGGGAATTCCTCTCCAGCAAAGTCCCGGCAAACAGTCTTTCATGAGATTTCACAACTATATAGACCTTTATCAGGCTTGGAGAGTTGCCAGGCCGATATCTTCCAAACGCCACGCTGTACTATTACTTCGCAAGAAATCAGAAACAGATCTTCACTCTCATGAATTACAATACAATACAATACAATACAATACAATACAATACAATACAATACAATACAATACAATACAATACCAGAGTTGGAAGGGACCTTGGAGGTCTTCTAGTCCAACCCCCTGCCCAGGCAGGAAACCCTATACCATTTCAGACAAATGGCTATCCAACATCTTCTTAAAGATTTCCAGTGTTGTCTGGAGACAAGCTGTTCTACTGATTAATTGTTCTAACTGTCAGGAAATTTATCCTGTTATAAGTCGCTTCCCTCCTTGATTAGTTCCCACCCATTGCTTCTTGTCCTCCCCTCAG